GAAAATATTTCATCCAAACCCGCAGTCAGTTATACCTGAACCGTTTAATAAGGTTTGTTCTCTGGAAGTTGATTTCACTCCGTTTGAATCATCTACCACGATTTACTTTACTATTCTATTATGTAACTCTGCCTAAGGATGAGGATTATCCATGTGGTCAAAGAGACGCTAAGAGATGTGGCCCAGAACAGATGTCAGTGAAGCGAATGCTGTACGGTCTGCCTGTTGATGAAATCCCGTGCCCCGTAAAAAAGCGATAAACCAATAGTTGTTTGTCAGATTTGAAGTTTGTATGTCAATTGTGATAAGTTCAGTAGCCTCGGTGGGATTCAAACCCACGTGTGGACGCCGCCTACGCTTCGTACGCGCATGATCTACCAGCTGAGCTACGTGGCCTCGTTGTTGGCACCGCAAATCGCTGCAACACTATTGCCGATGGGTTTAATTTCGGACACTGGCCATTCCCATTACCCAACTGTGAGGATACCATCGAAAGCTGTTCAATCTGCGCGTATTCGATTGGAGAGCACATCCCGTTGGGTTTCAATGAGGTTGATGTTTCGTAACAGAAATAATCTTGGATCTAGTTGAACCTAAATTGAGGTCAAGCACTGTCTTGATAGGAAAGCCTGAATCCATGGTGATCTCTCGATGCCACGGACTAAATGAAATCCTTTTATGTGTCCGGTATGAGTTACCTGTTTGAAGTTCTTACATAACCGCTGGTCGTTATTTTCCCTCGGCAGAAGTCAGCCAAACATCATAACGCTATCATCGAAAACTGGGCGTCGGAGATCACGGTTGCCCTTCCACACGCGTGAAATACTGTTCACTTGTGAGGAGTAGGTAACATAAATGGTGATTACTTTCAACGACCGAAAATCAACAAGATCACTAAGGGCAAATTGCTGGGTTTCAAAGAAGAACTAACTATTTCTACATTCATTACCCGTCGCGCGTGGCCACAAGCTGCGATGGTATGTTTCTGATTAGACTTTTGTGTTATGCATGCCAAATCCTGGACCAGCACCCGCCTTCTGGAATTATAACACTTGGTCACCAAGTTATACGATTCGATGTGATTTTTCACTCAATCCACTCTACCCTACAGTTTGGAATACGAAGTTCTTTTCTTTACAAACCTTGCAGATAAGCTCACTTATCGGAACCCAGTAGTATAGTCAATACTATTCAATTTAACCTCGTTTCCTCATGGCTGGTGGTTGACATTTTGAAGTATAGACACTAGCCAGTCATACTGGAAACTGACGTTCAGCCGATCTATAGTTTTCCTCCCGCCCTAAACGAATTGGGAACTGTTTTGACTGTACGCCCCCGATGGGATAGGAAGAACACAATTCGCTGAATTGGAACTGGCTGACTGCAATTGTATCGATGCGATTTACAAGACCAATAGGTTGAAATACAGATCAATTAACGACAGGTAAAGTTGATATCCAGGGCAACCAGTTATGTGACACCCTATGCGAGTGAGCTGCATCATGATATCAGCTCTCATCACTGGAACCTCACACTTACAGTCATTTCTCAGTCAGCGTGAGCAAGTATCTGTCTATCACAATGTTCCCCATCATGGACTGATCGGTCGTATAGCAATATCCGTTTCTCGTAAAGGAGATGTCAAAACTCATATCAGGGTTATATGAACCAAGTCAGATTCGTACTCAAAGTACTCATTTTATGAAATTCGATCAAATTCATATCTTGGACACTCAATTCAGAAATTGTTTGGATGTTTGATTCATTCCTCTCCATTATTGAGCTATAACGTGCGTAAGTCCGACACCATATTAGGGATATGTTAAAAGCGGTTCGTTTTCTCTACCATAAAACAGCTGAGTTGACAGTGTCCAAATTCGGATCTATATTACGCGTTGAATACGGCAATGAAACAGTGTACATACAGACCAAATTTCAGCATCCTTCCTATTGTACACTGATGAAGATCGGGGTGCGCTCAAGGCAGTCAATGTACTATTTGGCTGACTAAAATTCTTAAAAGTACAGTATTGATTTTCACCTCCCTACTCAGTATGAACCGCGTGAAGCAGTTTGATTGACTATCCGGTGATTCGCTGCAAACTGCTTGTGACTTCTGGGTGTGACTCTTCCCGGGGGAAAGGGTAGGGTGTTTGGGTGCTTATCGAGTGTAGTGGTAAATTGAATACGAAAAGAATGGCGATTTTGTTTGGTCAGATAGCCTCAGATTTTAATTTCCATCTTATCTATGTGTGCAACGAAATTCCTGGGTAGCCATACATTTCTATTGCATCATTGCCTAGTTGTGATATGTTTTGCAATGTTTGTCTCCACTAGCAGAGTTTGATCGTGTGATTCACGGTCACAAAACGAGTAATAAAAATGGATTACCATTGACCATCATACATTTCGGTCCGATTGGCGCATTCTACCCGCCAACATCCTGATTCAGTAACGGCAAAATTTAAGCTCTTTTTCAACCAATCAGCTTATTCTCTGTGATGGGACAAACAGCTTTCGGCTGGCGCCGAAGCCTGATGCCCAAGGCAGCGGCGTGGTGTGTGAAAACCGTAATCTGTTGCGGATCAATATCCAATTCATCGACCCTTTGACGGGGTCAAAAGTTCAAGGTACCCAATATACCTCTATACCCAATCAAGCCAGTGACCACTACCACGACCATGTATGTGATTTGTATTTCTCTTCTTGGCTGGGTTAGAATCAGGGTTCTTCTAGCTTAGGTGAACTGTTCGTGGTTCATCAGTCCGATTATAGCCCCTGATATTGACTTTTCATCCGCACACTTTCATACAAAGTTAGTGAGTAGGGCTCCGTCAGTGGGATCTCTGTTCACGGCGTCCAGTCCCGCACATGTGCTTTCCCCAAGGGAGGAGGGGCTTGAGAATTCAGCATAAACAAGTCATAGGAAGCATCGCAGTGCTGTTCTGTTGGATTAAATTTTGATAATCACAAGTAGTTAGTGCAACTGGAAGGTAACTGTTACATTTCATGTGTCAGTACTAGCAGCAGCAGCAGCAGCAGCAGCAGCAGCAGCAGCAGCAGCAGCAACGACGACAACAACAATAACTAACGCGAATTGTGTTGTTATATTTTCCAAAAGGCGGTGCTGGTCAAGGATAGTTATTTATTGCCAATAACTTTCGAGATATGGTTAGATTCTCATTCGTACAACAAAATATCTCATTTGGAACAAGTTTTCAGAATTCCCGCAGACACACCAGATACCTAATGGAACGGTTCAATACCAGATGCGCATTCCTGTCTTCACCGCACCAACAGGTCTTGTTCATTTTAGGCCGTTGACAGAAACTGTTGATTTTATCCTCTTGCGTACTACTCACAAGTGAGTAATATTTCACAACACTCCTCTCTCGGCGAAAATGAACTATGCATACAGCGGGCAATGAGTTCTTTCTTCCGAGAGTTCGAACGGGCTCGTAGTTGGTCGACGGTTTCGTTTGCCTTCGTGATTAATTTTTGGTGACCCGACCAGTAGGTTGATATCTGATGACTCTTCGGCGTACGGCTGTTCCTAGGGCCACCTATCAAGTTCATTTTGACACACACATCTGTCGGCATTCACCTGCAGAAGCATGTTTATTGGAGTCTTCTTAATCCGTATTTCACATGAACTTAGGCATCTTGGGAGTAACTGTGATGATTGTAGTGATCGTAGTAATACGCACGGAATTCGGAACACCAACCACGCAATATGAATCACAGGACCCGAATCAATAATCAACCATCACGTACTGGATCTCAGAAGCACTGTACCACAATGACACGGATTCGCAATATACCACGAGAACGAGACGCGAGGAAAAGGCCACAGGAATGGTAGTAAGCAGTAGTTCGTTTATTGGAAGAAANGTACAAAGGGATATTATTGGCTATCTGGGCTTCCACCAATTGGATTGCAGTGCTGCTTGCATGATCCTGCTTCTGTCTGCATTGTCTTGGATTGGTTGGCACCAACCGTATTCAGAAGCCGTGCGCGTGCCACTGACGTCAACATTCAAACTTGATTGATCGTGAATGTCCTGAAACTGTACCGCGCCGCTCCAGGGTAGGCGCCATCGTGTAGCCCTGGATCACCACAGTAACATTGCTACTCCAGAGTTACCGACACGGCCTTCGACATGATGCTTGTACGCTGCTTCCTGCACTTTCTGAATCGCACTTGGTTTTCGTTTCACCGGTATTCTTAACTTGCTCATGGTTTTGTTGTACAGTCTAGCAAAAGTTTGCTTGTTCGTCGTGTTCTCGGCAGAGAAAGTTCAATTTGCTGTACTATCAATTTGAGGCAAGTGTTCGCCAACTGCCTTCTCTGCCGTATTCGAGGCTTCTAATGACTCGNNGGTTGACTGAAGTTCTCTGCCATATAAACTGCAGCACATGCGTCATACAAACATGGCACTTTCTGATCCCGCTTATCCAACTATCAGCTGTTCCGGAGGGGTTCTTGTCTGGGGACACCGATTTGAGAGAAAACAAGGGTTCTCTCATGGGATCATTTGCGCTGTGTTTCGGAGCAACTTTTCTGCCAGTACTCTGTCTCTTTGTGATCATAATTCTCCTTCTTGACAGCTCTCTGTTCGTAATTGGTTCGGATGGTTGCTGCTACCTCCTTCGTTAGTTCCTTGAGAGTTGCTGTAATTACTGCAAACTGGCGTCGATGGCTCTCGGTGGACTGGGCAGGAGTGAATTTCTTCCAAGTGAACGCCCCCAGGACATTCGCCAGTTTGAATACATCCATGATCGTCTCGGCATTAATTATCCATGCCTTCTCCCGCAAGTCCTCTGGCAGGCTCTCCATAAAGCGATCAAGCAGTAAATCCGAACGCGCGACATCATCCAACCTTGGGAGCGCTCGATTCAACAGGGCGCGCAGGGTCACAGCATGCGACAAGGAGTCCACGCCAACTCCGAGCTGCGCCATCCTGAAGCTCCACAACGCCCTCTGGCGGTCGGTCAGGGTGTCAAAACCCGCGATCAGGGCGTCTTTCATGGGGGCCCACCCCATCTTCTCCGGGCCTCTTCGCGCCGCATCCAACACCACCCACGCTCGGCCCTTGAGAAGCGCTCGGATGGCCGTCATATGACCCCGCCAGCTCCGCCACATCCTCGAACTCCTCCAGGTACATCTGCTTGTCTCCATCCTCGAGGGCTTCAGGCCACGGAACCTCCATCCGGGAGACAGCATCAGTGTCATGTATTTAGGTCTGAGGCAAACAGTTGGAAAACTCTCTTTCTTATTTGATCATTTCTCTCTCTTATATCGAAATCTAACACGATGTCACCTGTTTGAAGCACCCGTAATTAGCATCCATCGTTCAGGAGCTATAAGATCGATAAAACGAAAATGTTCTTTGCACTTAGACGCATTTAATGTCGGTGCGTCATATGAGATCGACCTACAAGATGCCTTACCCCAGACCTCTTACATTTTTAAATATGGACACATACCATGTCCATGTCCATAATTCAGGCTACTCGGTATCTGACGTTCGCCGTTGTGCTGTTGTCTAGTTTGCACGACGTGACAAGGCTGAGCGATTGTTTCTGGACTGGATTTCCAGTTAGTTTTCGACGGTACGCTGTACTTCTCAACAGCATTACATCCAGTATTGTTGCTGTTCTGTCGTCTTTTTCATGCATGCACCGATTGCATTGGGACTGAAATGAAGAATTCTTTCTGCAAGAACTTTTCTCTCATGTTCCCTAAACGGACATCATTGTGATCGAAGACAACATCAATGCTGAAGAGGAATCTTTGTAGTAATAATCAGAAGGATTTCTGAGAGGGTGGCCCACATGCAAGCCCAGAAAATCGGAAGGACATGCAAGATCACACAGACCATAAATTGTTTCTCTCAAGAACCAAAGTCTCCTGTACCGTACATCACCGTTACTCCTCCGGGCAATAAACTCAATTCCATCACATTTTTATCCGCTACAGCTGATTGGAGATAATCCATCTAAGACTCACTCACTGATCAACACCTGTTGATACAGATGCTAAGCTAGGTTCTGTCCACAACTGAGTCAACAACAACATCAACAACCCGCGAGAATATTATTGAATCCGGGGTCCCGGATTACAACGTTAGGGACAAATGTAAATCGGCCTACAAAGTGGAGCTATGCCGCATGGAACGTGATGAGAAACAGTTTCATTGTTTACGTACATGCGATCGCATAAACCATCACTGCAAGCTTGTTGTGACCGTCTAATGATGTCCAGCTTACCACCAGAATTCGGGCTTATAATCCCAAAATGCAGATCGGTTTTTCTATAGTTGAAATGACCTAAATCCTAATTTAGTTCATTTCTATTGTTCGCTGCCTCTCGTTCTAAGGTAAATTGACATTTATTGTAGTCGCGGAAGAAACTTAGATCTTCAAACCACTGGTTACAAAATGTTCATTTATTCGTGCTTGGATAAATCGAATAATTGCATTTCTGGTAGAGATATACTGCCCTTGAAAATGGGTGTGGTTTTGGGATACAACCATGCTGACTATAAAATGTCTGTTGCATAGATATCTTTTCTCAAGACACAAATGTTTGTTCATTACAGTCACCTGAACAAAAACGGTTGCCATTAACAACCAGAGGTGTAACATTTGACTCGTTATCTTCATTTCTCAGAACCATCTCGTTCTCTTTCAAGCAAGTGACTAAAAAGGAAATTCCCTAATATGAGCAGAACTGATAATGGACGTTGAGTTCTTATACTTTCAGTTGCCTGTCTATGCACACAGGTTGAATAGGTTGCAAGAAGAATGACATAAATGGATAGCTGCCTGCATACGGTGGATAAATTGGGAAATGTTGGTCTGTTGCATAGCCATCAAAGTAAGAAAAGGAGAATGATAAGACACAGTCAGTTTGGAAGTTCCTCTCTTCCGTTTTTTTGTCAAAGTAGTAATCTTCAAGAATCTGTCGTCCGTCTTGCCAGTGTAACTGCTCAATCTTTCATCTAGACTTTTTCATATCATACTCTCTAGCTCAATTCATTCGTCCCGCTCCAAGTGACTCTGTTAATTACGCAACAGAAAACGCTTTCCCACTTCACCTGTCGTATTCATGCAATTAATAATTTGTGATAGGTTTCCTGCAACCCATACAAACCAGTGTGCGTAGACAGGTGACTGAGAACATGAAAAATCGATTGTTATATTACTCCATTGTTGCAAAAAAACATCTACCTGTCGTTTTGATGTTCGCTTAGCTTTGTTTCCCGTTTTCACTATACGTAGTTTGTGGCTCTTATTTTTAACAGTATTATAAGTTGTTCTTACTGGGAAGTTTGACGGCATTGTATGAAGTGGACTTCCGATTTTCCGACAATATTTCAATAAACGTGCTGTTATGTACATGAGCATGGTCCTCAGCAATTTTTGCGTTCGCTGTCCGGAGTCTCTTAGTTTGAACAGAATTAAGGAATTGTCAATTTTTGGTTGAATACAGAGTGTTATGACCAACCGATTTAAAATTGGTTCATGTAGCATCTCGGGTGAACTGAATTCCATTTCGCCTGTTCACCGAGCTTGGCAGTTTGTTTGAAAACGTTTCATCACCATGCGAGGAGACGTCATCGATGCTTGTGGGATGGCAGTGAGAACGAACGGAAGCCACAATCTGGACGAAAAGACAAACTCCTCCTGCCCTCACCCCGTCGAACCAGTTTAACGGCGAACCGAGTGAGAACAAGGGACAAAAAGAATATATATATACTCTGTGTATACTCATTTACTTGTTCCTGTGGAACAACGTACATAGGCCGCACGGTCAGGCGATTCTCCGAACGGATTCGTGAACATCACCCCGTGTGGCTGAACACCGGACCAATTAAGTCACTCACCAGTGAAGTGGTGTCACAACTAGCTGAAATAAATTACACGTGAACGGGTACGAGGCATTCCGACCCCTGTACAAAGTTTGTGGGCGATTACCGAGGCAGGTCCACTGTCGGATGTTGGCTACGGCAGAAGCGGTGGGCATTCGTCTGTACAATCCCCCCCCCTGTGTGCCCAAAAGCAATTTGTGCAAGCGTCAAAGCTTCCCTGGCCCACCCACCCCCCATACAAACCGCATCGTGAGTAACCTCGATGATCGGATGAGTGGACAAACAAACATGCGATCGTGGTGAACCCGATTTTTGATCTCACGATAAAATCGTTTCTACTAATCTGCGTTTTCATTTTATTTTATTTTCCCAGGACAATTTTATTCCCAAGTAGTGATATATATTGAGATGTATTGGCATGAATACGAATCTCTGAAAACGAGCTTGTTCGCCACTCTGTCGTTTTGTTTGAAATGTGCTCTGTGGGATTATTTGAACAATATGTATATATGTATATATACATATATATATATATATACGAACGGATACAAGCAGAATACTACCACTTCAAGAGCACTGGTGATGAAACGTTTGCTAACAAATTTCCAAGCTCGGTGAGCAGCTGAAATGGAACGGATTGTGATTTTAGTCATACGGGATATGAAATGGCTTCCATAAAACACCCACATCTTTTATCGGTGTTTTCGTACACGTACACGCGTGGATTATGAACTGGTATGAATGCATGTTTTGTCACACCACTTTATTGAGCCCTTGGTCCTGATCTTCCATTTAGAAGAAACAATTTTATACGTAGAATTTCATCATGAAGCAAACAGCTAGAACGTACTGTGCAGTTGTTTCAATCCTGTTGCGTTTCATCACCAGTGTGAATCCAGTCACCCAACTGAGGACCTCACAGACGGAACAAAATCATACTACTGATCAGCACGTTTTTCTTAATAGGTATTTCTCTATAGGCCAACACATCCTTGAAGGCTTTTTGTGGGAACCATGCCTCATTGATCCAAGCGCTGGTCTTCAGGGCAAATTGATAGATGATCTAAACAGATACACGATGCTGTCTGGTGTTTAAGTTCACCATGCATTGGCTTTTTACATTTCAATTTTAATGTGATTGGATAATATGGAACGCTTTTGCAGCAATTCATGAATGAAAAAAAGAAATGTGCACTTCAGTGAAGGTAACACCGTTCACACATAAAGCAATCATCATCACTGAACAATTTTCATGCTACTGTCGCGAGAAAAGCTGGGGAAAACGTCTATTGATCCAATGCAAAAGCAAACGGTGTATGTGTTCGATTATATACAATCAATTCTCAAC